GTTTTGTTTGGTTACCAAGTAAATGTTTAATGATTAATAACTATTCCGTAATTATTACCTAAATGAAAAATAGTGGCTTCGTTCCGTCTGCAAGTGCTTCTAAATATACCTATTTTTATAATTATGAGTTTTCTTTTCGGTTACGGGATGAATATTTTTAGCGTGGCCTCTCTCTAAATGTGATATCTAAAAGATTGTTTTAAATAATTTTATTCAAAAATTATTAAAAACTATTTATCGCAATTGACAAATACTGAAAAGGAAGTATGAAGTTTGATAAGCATGTTTAAACTTTATTCGGCTTTAAAAAAGTTAAGCACACTTGATATTTTCACTGCGTAATTTGGTTCTGATAAAGTAATTCCATAAATTTTAAAGTACGTAAATAATACTTTAAAGAAAAGAATAATGTTTCAAGAAATATTTTTAAGGAATTTAAATAAGAATGACATTTTTAAACATTACTGTAAATAGCATTTTAAATGAAAGAATAATACGTTATTAAAATAATGTGATTTTTCAAACAATATCTTAAATTTCACGTTCACTAAAAATGACACCTTTAAACACTACTTTTAATGCAGTATGATGTTTGCTAAGCATGTTTAAACTTTATTCGGCTTTAAAAAAATGTTAAAAATTATTTTACTGTGTAATTTGATTCTCATAAAGTAATTCTATAAATTAAGGAAAAATATGTCATTAATACTTTAAAGAAAGGAATAATGTTTCTAGAAATATTTGTAATGAATTTAAATAAGAATGACATCTTTAAGCGTTACTGTAAATAGTATTTTAAATGAAAAAATGATACGTTATTAAAATAATGATTTTTTGAACAATATTTTAAATTTTACTTTAAAAAAAGTTATATTTTGAAAAGTGCTTTAAATTTTATGTTCATTAAAAAATGACATCTTTAAACACTACATTTAATGAAAACTTAAGCAAAAGAAAGACACTTTTAACTATAATTTTTATTATCTTAGTTACATTTTTACTACAGAAAAGGGACGGTTAAACAGTATTTTAAATTACTTTTTAAGTGAAAAAAAAATGTTTGATATGACATTTACAACAGTGCTTAAACAATGCCTACATAAACAATGCTTAAAGTGATATTAGGGTAAAGTAATTACACGTATTTCAAATAAACATTTCAATTCTAGAATGTAACTTCAAAAATATTTTGAAAATACTTTTATGACTTTTTAAATCAAAGAATAATAGTTGAAGCAACACTTTCAAAATGATGATACTTTAAATAATATTCTTAATAATACTTTAAGTAAATAGCATTAAGTAAACAACATTTCGTTTTACATAAGAGAAAAATAATTTAAACAATTAATTAAAATGAGCCGTTGGGTAAAAGAATTACCTTTTAAAGAATACTTTAAGTAGTTCTATAAGCAGTTTCTAAATTTATAAATCATTGATTTAGTTTAATATACGTACTTTTACGACTGTAACCTAGTAATGATACAAAATTTAAAGTATTTACCATAAAGTATAGGGGAGAGTGGGGTCAATTGTAACAGTTTTTGCTTAACTATTTTTAACTAACAAAAAATCCAATATATTATTAATATTAATTGACAGACGAGTAAAGTAGAGTATCCTCTACTGGAAAAAATAAATACCTTATTTTAAATGTTATTATATTAGTTATTAACAATTTTTGACAGTCGTGGACTTGTTACAATTGGCCCCCCTAACGGGGTAAATTGTAACAGTTCATAAATTCAACTAAAACATAGTTAATTATACATATTATCATAGTTGTGATAGATTTTTTTGTTGATCAAAATAGTAGTGATATTTTAGGAGTGAAAATAATAATGAGCAGAGACCTAAAGGGTTAAACTTTTAACTTCAGGGGTTAAAAATTTTAATTTATGCTGTGAAAGGTGTTGTGCGATTTATGCGTGAATGATAGTTTTGCATTCTAATAGTTCAGGATCACCAATTGAAGAGTGCAGGATTTTAGAAACTTTTTATGTATTGAAGGAATGGAAGAAATATTGTGGTATCAATGTTGGAGTTCGAACCCCTGTTCAGTGGGTCATGAGATTGATCGATTGGCTCTCTCAGCTACAGCATGTTCTGAGCTGTATGAAAAAAATGCCTTCAATAAGGTGGGCCTAGTGGTCATGGGCCTAGTTGGCCACACTTAACAGTTTGAATATAATCTTTTTTATGGTTATTCTACTGTTTTTGTTGAATATGATAATATAGCAATTAAATGAATTGCTATTTAACCATTTTCATCAAAAAAATTCTAGCAGTGTATGAAAAAAAAATAACGAGCAAATTAATAACCAGATTTAAACTTTTTTGCTTTATTTTTTAGGAATTATGATAATGTTGAGTAACAACGTAAACAAATCTCCTTGAAAGTCCTATTGCATTTCATGAATGAATAAAAAAATTATTCTTACTGTGTAGCTACGAACAATCTTTCTTAGAAACATAAAACTTTCCTCTAAGAAAACAGGTTGCAAATGACAGCATTTTAAATCCCATAATCATTCTGTAACAGTACTTTCGAAAAAGAATAATATTGAGTCTTAGTTAATCCAGATTACAAACGAAATACCAATTTTTAAACTCCGAAAACCATCTTAGGAAAGCGTTACTACCAATAAAATTTACGGCACATTTATGAGGTGCCAAAGAGTTGAAAACATTACAGAGGCAATTTGCTGTTAATAGGCTGGAAGCAAGGCGCGAAAAAAGAAATCCCCTTCGATAAATTTTATAGCCTTTGGCGATTAATTAGTTCTCTTAAAATGTTGCTCAAGAGCTTCTTTCTCAGCGTAATCAGCAAAAGAAGACCCTGACGTGAAATCTTCGAATTTAATTAATTTATTATTTGTTACAAGTCGGTATGAGTTTTGTGTAATTATCTAAAATCTATTTGCTAGTTTTAAGTGGGGTAAATATCGAACAAATATTTAATTCAATGAAAAATACTTTAATTATTGAATAACCATTTTTTTTTTAATGTTTACGCCGAAGTATGTAAAATAGCATTTAGAATTATTTTTAACATCCCTAATTAGAAATCTTTGGTTTAAAATTAATATGAAATATTGCTATCAGCAAAACAGCGTAATAAATCGTTCTAATCGCAATTTCAGGTATAATTTTGAATTATTTCTACCTTTTGATGTTTCACTGTAAAAATTCGAGATCAAACAAAAAATCTGATGCACCACAATTTTTACGGTAATAATTACCGTAAAATCTCGGAGTGAATTTAATTGAATATTATTGTAAAAATTATGATATATATTGTACCGTATGATAAAATTGATTTTACGAATGATGCTCCCAAAATGCCGGTAATACCGGGATTTTTCGGGAATTTTTTACAGTGCATTTAACTAAAACATAAAATGAAAAAAAAAAAAAAAACTTTTCGTATCAGATCTGACAAAAATAAAATTATTTCCCCCGTTTTAATCAACAAGCAAAAGGTTGTTAATAAAATTTTTGTTTTGTCGACTTAAAAAAATAGTGATTTACAAAAGAATAAAAAATTTTATTTCTCTATTTATGATTTGAAAGATAATATCTTTTCAAAGAATATTATCCTTTTTGAAAGTATTTTTTTCAAATGGGTGGTATCTTCTTCATGGTAAAAACTCGATTTTCAATAACTATGTTAAAATATTCTACCATGAATAGCTTATTGTCTCTTAAAATTAAAATTTACAAAGAATTCCGTCAGCGATAAATATTTTGAAATATTCTATTTATTTGAAGGGAAAAAAAGGAAGGAGAAGTGACAAAGAGTATTTCCTCTTTCATATCGCTTAACCTCAAATCTTAAATTTTAAAAAATTCTGATCTTGACAGCTGTAAGTGATTTATAAATCAGTTCTTTTATTTTATATCATCAATCATCATCCTTTAAAATTAAAAATTTAAATCCACGTTTATTTTTTAGCTCTAAAACACGCATTTGATCTTTGCCGTGATAAGTCGATTTATTGAAGTTAAAAAGGAAATGATTGGATGATGAAGGCTTTCTAATATGAAAACGATAGTTTTTCTTCTTTTTTTTACATCCAGTTTTTTGAGTTTGAGCAGTTAATGGAGAATATTAAGTGCTTTTCTTTAGTTTTTACGATAATGGTAGATAAATTGATGAGCTGTTGTTAAAATATTGATGATTATGCTCTATATATTGTAGAATATTTTATAATATTAGATGACTAACCCTATTCTTTTATTATCCTGATCATAAACTGTGCAGTAACGATACGAATTCTTTTGATTTTTCTTGATAAAAATAGCAAAAGATTTTTTTTCTTCGTGATTCGATGATAGTTTATATCATTCTGCTTTATGATACCCATTTGGATTACGAGTAATATTTCATCAAAGGAAAGACATAACGCAATAAATTGCTGATGGATATCGTTAAAATTCCACTAACCTTATCAGTGGTTATTAGAATGTTTATCTGTACCATAAAACCTCACGAAACTTTTAATAAAAATTTTCTTTTTGCAATTTTTTTTTCGTAAAATGTTCAGTAAATTAAAGACAAGAATTAATAAAATTGACACGTTAAATTAACATGTTAAATTGCTTATCTAAAAATGTTACTCTACTTAAAAATATATTGTTTATTATCATAACAAATCGTTTATAACTCAATAAATTTCAGATTTTAAATTGGAACTCTATTCGTGATTAATACAATTTCTCATGAATCTTAATCATAAATCTCTTAATCATTTAGGCTAATAGTGGAATAGATATATGTTTAATTAAAAACACAAAATACAATTTGTATTTTTTATTGAATATCGACAAAATATTGGATTGCTACCAAATATCGGAACTTTAAAATCAGATGTAATGCATATGGTTCACTAACACTAGATCCATATATTTTTAGTTTCATGCAGTATTTCATTTTTTAAAGTGTTAAACTATTACGAACTTTAAGGTGAATCCATTTTTTATAATTTTTTTTCTTACAGCTGAAGATGGAAGATGGACTTCATGGTCATCCTGGTCAACTTGCAGTCCAGATTGCAAGCATCATCGACGACGCACTTGCAGTAATCCTCCTCCTTCTCATGGTGGACGATACTGTGTTGGCAAAGATTTGGCTACAAGCAATTGCACTGGTGGAATGTGTCGAGGTATGTTATATTTTAATAAATCAAAACAATAATCTTTTGTTAAACTTCGATTAATTTGTTATCATGTTATCATCTGCCTCTGAAACATTTTAAAAATCTTTATAATATTTATACTTAAGAAATTATTATTTGTTTCGATTTAAAAATTTTTATGCGTTAGTTATTCAAACAAATACTAGGTTGAAAAATTCATTTAACAATGAATCATAATATCGGTTCTTCATTCTATAATATGGTTAAATTCGTCACAAGCTTGATTAAAAGTACGAGGGAAAAAGTACTGTCAAAACTACCAGAATATGGTGAAATTTACATTGTTTCTGGCTTTATGGGAGCATCAGAAAGCTCGGTAATTTTTTCCAAAGTGCTTTGGTAATGATTTCTGTTAAATTAACAATAAAATGCGTCTTTTCAAAATCTGATAAATTCGCTAATTTTCTCATGATACCTTAGAGCATGGCATAAAAGCCATTTAATCAGTTAAATTTACTCTTCAGTTTTGTATTTTTTACTAAATGTGCGGTAATACGAACTGTAATTTTGAAAGCAAGAATTTCAGTTAAACTGCTACCATATGAACGGAAGAATTACCCCCAAACAATTTTTAAGCAAATGTTATTACACTGCAATATACAGTGAGGAAATTTTACCAGAATTTCTTTCCATGTTTGGTAAGGTGAGCTATATTACGTTTCATGGTGAATTTATAGTGTAATCGAGTTTAAAATTAAATAAGTAGTCTTCGAATATGGTTCAGTCTGGTTTAACATGTTCTGGCATTCTTGAAAGAGCAGTTTAAATAAGGTTTAAATTGAAACTTATTAAAAATATTAATATTAGACGATTGTTGAAAAATAAAGCACGATAAATGTATAATAATTGAACTTTCACTGAAATGTATAATCATATAGCTTTAAATTTTAATTATTAAAAAAAGGAAAATACATAATTATTCGGTTATCTGAAATGTATTATTGATCTATAAGTAGAAATAGTTTTGAATAGACAGAAATATATATATATTTTAACACTACATGAATGAGAAATTTAAAAGTTGAATTCAGAGGGTACGTAGTATTTTATATTTTTAATTATATAGAAGAAGAGATTAATTCAGAGAATATAAAATTATTTTAAATGTTTACTTACATAAAGTAATTCATATTTTTTAGGCTGTAGTAAACGCCAGTTACAAAATCAAACATATATTTCACACTTGTTTAATTATCGTTGTAAATATTATGAATCTTTCAAATACCATTTAATTTATTTTTCAATTCTTATTTATTAATGTTAACAATTTCTTAATTTCATACATATTTTCGCAAAAGCATTTTCAATTAGGAGATAAAGTGATCTAGGAAAATTTCACAGCTCAAGATAATTAAACAAATTCCACTTAATTATTCCATCTTAATCTTTCGTCCGGCTTAATTATTCCATCTTCTAAAGTTATTGTTTCCTGGTTTGAGCTATACTCCACAGAACATTTGAATAAATCATGTTCCTCTTTAAAATATAATTTTTCTATTCGTGTCTCTGCATAGAGTTTCACATATATTGTGTTTTCAGTCCTTAAACTGCTCTAAATGAACATTTATCGGATTTTCTAGAAATATTTAATATCATGGGATGAGAAATACTTCCTTAACACTTCCGAGGAAAATTCCAAACGTTAAACTCCGAATCTAGCTTCCAAGCAGACGATCCAGTTTGTCGATATCGATTAAAAAAGTTATTATATCGATTTTTTGACTGGAAATATTGTTTGAAATATTGCTTTGTTGAAAAATTTTTGCAATCGGTGCGTACTCAGCATCTTCTTTTATTAAGGAAGGACAGTGTTACTACCTTATCAGCATTCTTTAGTTTGTGCGTCTTTTTTTTTTTCCTGGAGGTAAGAGAGCGAGAAGCATTCTTCAGCGAGATGCTTTAAATTTAATATGAATTTTTTAACGTATTCGAAGTCTGTTCTCTACTTTAATTAAGGATACGGGGTATTGTTAAGATATTTGCATTTAAATAGCTTTCAAGAAAGAAAGGGATCCAGTGATTTGCCTTACTCATATTTGATGCCGCATCTTAATTTATGATTCTTAAAAAAATACTCAGTGCCTGCAATTTGAATTTTTTATTTTGTATCCCCATTTTGATTTCTCATAAAACTGGTATAAAATATTATATGAAAATTTATTTTTCCTTTTTAATTTCCAAGATTCAAAAATAAATCCTATTGATTAACGAACACTAAATTTGATATTTTATTTGAATTTACAATTTTTAAATGAGCATTTTCCTTCCAAACTTTTAGTATTTTAGCAACATATTAAATATTTAATCATGTGTTTATATGCTTAATAACATATCAAATTTTTAACCCATTATTAGAAATTTTACATATTTTTTTATTAAAAAAAAACCATTAGTTTCTCCCAAAATTACAGGTTGTTGTACGAAATTTTTTTTTAAATTTCTTTTTTATTATATAAAGATGTAAACTTGAGATTTTTTTTCTCCAAATAAGCATGTGCTCCTAATTTTTATATGATAACATAAAAATGTCAATAAAGTATGGGGAAAATGTTCAAAAGGCTTCTGAACTTTATTTTCAATTGAAGGATGCTTTAAGAAATAATCATAATTCATCCAGCTATATTTTTACTTTTTATGTGTCTAAGTTAACTAAAATTAATATTGTTATAGTAAGTATATCAAAAGAACTATGAACTATTATATAATTTGGAAAAGCTTTACTTTTTAATTTATAGATAAATATGTACATAGATAAATACATAAATATATTCTTTATGTATGAAGATATTGTTATGTATATAAGATATATGATATATTTTTATGATATTATCTCTTTATGTTAAATGTATACACAAATATAGTCTTCATATATATTTATAATTATATATGTTTTAATATTATAAAATATAAATAAATAATTAAATATATTCTTTACACACAAAATAAGTTAATTTACTTAAATATGGTATTTTTGTGTAATGAAGTTATAAGAAAGTTAATAAAAGCAAGTACTCGTTTATAGATTATTCTATTTATAATGTTTTATCCTTATGACGATAAACTTTCAGGACGTTCGAGCTGCATCGCTGTCTCTATTATATGCTTTCAAGTAAATGGGGATAGAATAATTCAATTTAGATATGCGCATATTTACCAAATGTCACGTCGCCAAAGTAATGTTTAAACATCTCGCCGTGTTTTCGCAGTTTGCTATTCCCTTTGGGGAATGTCACAACAGTTGACTTGTTCTACTTCTATAACTGTTGACACGCTATAATTGTATCTCTCAAAGTAACTGTCAAGAAATTCCTACATTTTGCACCCCTCCTTTTTCTCTGTTAAAAGATACTTATCTGTTTTTGCCCGATAACTAGTACTTTTCAATAAGGCGTTTCGAATACTAGTTATTTTAATTGTAAGTAAGTTCCTTGAACAAGTATTTTAACTATCGTATTTATATTTATTCCAAATGTCAAAAACAAACTTGTATTATTTTATCCTATAGCTTTTTCAATCATAAAAAATTTTGTTTTATTTTGCATTTTGTCAAATAGAACAATATAATTTTATTTTATATCATAGGTTATTTTAAAATTTTTGTATAATAATTATTTTAAAATTTTTTTTTATAAATAAAAGTCAAAAATTTTATTAACTTTAAGAACTAATAAAAACCTTGATATTTTTTAAAATAGCAAACTTCAATTTTATAATAATGTTTCTTCTTGACATTAAGAAAACTAATATCTATTTTTTAAGGCATCGTTTTCCTGTTATTGAAAACTTTGACAATTTTTTTAAGTAATAAGTAATAGCGTCATTTTACTTTTATTGCTGCTAAAAACTACATATTAAAATTTAATATTTGTGAAACTTAAATTACAATAATTGAAAGATTTATCCATACCTAAATATTATATTGTGTTTGTATGTAAAAATTAAGTGATAACACTGGTGAGGTTTTTAATGCTAAAACATTTTTATTTTCATAACAATAGCCATCCTTTGATTTATTTCATAACTCATTTTAACTTTTTTTTAAATTCTAATAAGAAGAAAAAATATTGAAGGACCCTCTGATTAGTCCTACTTTATTAATACCACATTTCATTTAACTTTGCGATAAAATATATACAATTGAATATTAACAACCATAATTTTTATGATAATTTCAAATGTATGCTTATTGCTATTTTTTTCTTCTAATTTTTCATACTGATATACAATAAAAAATATTATAAAATTTAGAATAAAATAGGGCATTTAATTAAACTATTTAACATTTCATTAAATTAAATAAGACATTAAGAAAATAATTAGCTAAAAGAATTTTAATCGCAGTTTTAGTTCTATCAAAATTCAAATTATTTCGTTTAAATCATTATTTCATCATTCCTATCACACGAAGATCTTCCATTATTGAATTCATTTTCTTTAATGAACTGAACCAAATTCATGTACATCTTTTCAATGGAACATTATTTTAAATTACTAACTTATTAATTAAAAGACGGAACTTTATACAATCCATGAACACTCCATCCATTAATGAAATTTGTGCAAACGATAAAATAAAGCAAAATCTTCATTTGATAAAATATTTACTCCAAAGCAGACGATAAGTTTAAAATAAGGTCTTTTATGTTTGTATCATTAGAGACGCTTTGAATAAAGCAGATGTTTCAGAAAATACTCTTCAGTTCTTAAATTCTTCTTTGTTTTATTTCAGCCATGAGGGACAGAGATCCTTTTGTGATGTTTGGCAACAGCCGCTCTGAAGAAGGTGAGTGCCTGATTATATTTCTCGAACGGTGATATATTTATTCATATCCTTATCAGTAGTAAGTTTTCGTCGGAAAAATATTCTTTATTTACTTCGATTTATTTGAAATGAGATGGAACTGAGTTATTATTCAATGTTATATTCTGATTTTTATTAATGATTATATTTACGTGCATAGGCATGAGCATTAAGCTACTTAAGATTATATATAAAAATATTTTTTTTTTTAAGTTTAAATCCTGTATATGGTTACTTTTTATGCCTTATATTTGGTTACCCTTTATTTAAGCCTAAGATATTAAACATCCAATCTCTTTTTTTCGTTGATTGTTTCTTTGCCTCTTACATTGTTCTAGTATCTTATATAGAGCAATCATTGTTCTATCATCTTTTATAGAACAATCGTAAATCGTATAATAGTGTAATTGTAGAACACTCATATAATGATATCATAGAATCATAATAATTTATACTTCTACATTTAAATGGCTTCTTTTTCTAGTACAATATTCTAGTACAATTAATTCTGTTGCTTCAGTCTCGAAAATTTGATCCATATTCTTTTTTCGAAATGCATTTAAATGTATTATTTAATCAGTACTTTGAAGTATTATAAAATTCCGCTTAATCTGGATTCGAAAAAGACGCATTAAACAACCGAAAAAGAATTACAAAGAATATCTAGGTTAATCAGTTTACTGCAGAATATCTCTTCAGAATCATTTTCAATTTTTCATTAACTGAAGTGGATTCCGGCGTCCTAGAGTCTTGCTTGCCAATTGACTCTTTTCTGCGCCATCGACAACAATGACAATTGGATGATATATATAAAAAAATGTTCGGACAAAAAAGAACTTGAAAAAAGATGTTTGTTTCGCTGACGCAAACATGGTCACCGAGGGATCTTATCCGAAGATAAGAGCGACGTTAATTCTATTATCGTCACAATTTCTGTCTTCTAAAGAAAAGAAAAAGGAGAACATTAGGAATCGCACTTGTGGAAAATGCTGAAAGAATCGATCGGGTATTGGCGCTGACTCTTCAATACTTCCTTCATCAACACATTATTTGTATCATTTTTTTTTCTGTTAAAAATATGCTGTTTTGTAAGATGTTAATCTAAATAGCAAGGAAAAAAAAGAAATATGTATCTATTAATTATTTGTGTTTCTTGGTGATACGCAATTTCTAATTAAAAGATCCAACACTATCTGTCTTTATTTCCTTGATCTTACATGCTTACAGCATTGAAAAAATTAGCTATATTTTTACGTGTAAAAATAATTGATAGAAATGTTAATAGCTTTGTATCCTAAATGCATTTTCATTTTTTTATTATCCTATTTTGATTTAATGCTCGGTGAAGTCATTTTATTGACGGTTTCCATTTTTCAGCTTCACTAAATAGTTGAAAATTAATGACATAAAAATTAATTTAAAAGATGATATTTTTGTTTAAATATTTGGATCTTGAATTTTCTGTCATAGATAAATTTGTAATACAGTTCTTAGGTAAATATTGTTCATTATAAATAAATTAAGAATAATTTCAAAAATTAATTTCAAGACACTTTTTACGAGCATTGTCGGTAGAGGCATGATTTAAAATAAGAGTAATAGCAATTTATAAACAAAAATATAGCTTTTTAAACAGGGAAGTAAAGTGCAAATCTGTTTACAAAGTTATTATTTATAAATTGTTGTATACGTACGTAAAATATATCAATCACAGTAAAATATGAAATTGTAAAACTATTCTTACTAATTGTATTCGTATGTTTTGTTAATTGTAATTAATATTTGTTAATTGTAATTAATATTTGTTAATTGTAACTAATTTTTTTTCTAAAGCTATCACAAGTAAACATAAATGAATTCGTTAACATCAATTTAACATGAAATATATACATAAAAAAACTATTTTCCTAAATTTTGGTGATAAAATTTTTAGCCTTAATCGCTATTTTTTATTGTCTTAAGGTATGTAGAAATAATTTATTAGAGTCTATTCCTGTTTAAGAGATTAGTTCTATCAAAATTGTTAAGTGAATTTTATTTAACGCTTTACTACAGTTGTTTTAAGATTAATAATTTCGACTTTATTTTCTTACAGTAGTACCTTCCTCAAATAATGGAGCTGCCATCTCCCTGTATGTTGGTGTTTTTGTCGCTGTCGCTGTTTTCATTATTGTACTCATAGCTTTAGTGTGGATGGTTAAAAGAATGAAATCTAGAGATCCTACTATGTATAGGGTGCCTACTGCAGCTGGTATGTTTTTCTTACATCTTTCTCTCAGAGTAATAGAAAATTTAATATCTCTATATTTACAATATTTGATAGCTCTCTTCTTAGTTGAAATTCAAATAACAATGTTTGAGTTTTTTTCTGCTAAAATCCTTCAGCACTGCTCTTTACCTTTCGAACTTGATTTTTGGGAGACATTTTATACTTTGAAACATTCCAAAAATTTAGTTCATGATTTTTATAGCATATCCCCCCAATCCTTTTGCTTGGAAATCGGTTCCAATTTAATTTTTATCCTCAAACCTGTTTTTTCCCCTTTTTATTATTTTGCTGTTTCTCCCACCCTACAGGTTAAACAGCTTTGCACGTGTTTGTGTCTTGACTTTCTCTACCATCATTTAGTGTTGGGAGACTGAGGAAGGTTCTTGTTTATAGAAATGAAACTATAACATGTCCCTTTATTTAATTCCATTTGTGCTTTATTCACATTATTTTGTTTTTTTTTGCTTTAGTTTACATAGCACAAAGTATACTCTATCCTTTGTTGGGTATTTAATAATGTATAACAATTGCTAGCGTAAATAAAGAAATAATCATATTTAACAATTTTCCAGACATTCATCAAAACGGTGTTCTATAAAGACCGCCCAAACAGAATGTACATAAAAAGTATGTACATGCGTTTAAGGTTGCAAATTGATAACTAAGCTATCGAAAAAAATAAGCTATCGAAATGAAACAAAGCAGTTCAATCGGACTTCAAAACCGGTTTGATTGAAGTTGTTTACCTAAAGTAACCTGTTGGTCTGTTTGATTGAACCTCTCCTTTTTCTCTTGCAATCAAACAGGTTTTAGACAGGCCGGGAATCGAGCCACCTGCCTTCCCCTATTGAGAATTTCAGTTGTATACTCGCTTCCAATGTGCATACTTTTTTCGCCTACATTTTCGATAAGGATTCGAAAAAGTATATTTTAAGGGCGGCTTTTAGGGACCACACTTTATTTTTGTTATTTTGTGTACTTTTTTTTTTCTTTACCTATTTTTTATTATGTTGTTTTAACGTTATTAATAAATTTTTTTTATAGATGTAGTTGTGGTTCAGCCTGATTTGACACAGAATGCAATGCACATTCGAAAAGAGGATTACAGTGAGAAAAGCGTCCTAGCTGGTCTGGGATCCAACGCTGTCGTTCCTCTCTTGCCACCTCCTCCAAAGTACATCAATAACAACTGCCACAAGGACGAGACACATATGCCCCTAATTACCGTTCCATTCAAAAATGGAATATTGGACTCAACAGACAAGATTCCTAGGCCGGAATCTCCTGCTTCTGAAGTAAACTCTTCCGGTGAGAATAATATTTAAATTTGACTAAGATTTTTTTTGAAAATAAAGAAAATCAAGAAAGAAAAAAAGTACACATTTGCAACTTTGGTTTTAAAATTAATTAGTTTGATTCGTTTTGGTTGGTACAGTTTTGCACGCATCATTCGATATCTTTTCCAAAACGAAAACGATCTTTCTCATACACTTGTTAAGCAAAAAATTTTATGCGAAATTCAAATTGCTATGTGAATAGTTTTTTTTTTTATTTTTTCGTTTCTTTTTGGTTAGATTTTATTAAATAAATTTATAATGGCAATTTAGATTTGCTATGCTTATTTGACGACTTTTTTTCCAAAATTAATTTTTATTTTCCATTCAGAATGCTTTGTAATATATTCTGGCAACTTTTTATATACATATATAGCTCAAATATTTCATTCTATACTACTTATGCAGTGAGAATTTATAAGTATATTCATTTCAGAAAAGGTCTCGTTGAAATAGTTTAAACTATTATACATTCATGGGCATCAGAGGTGTCCAGTTTTTGATGAGGATGAAATTTAAATTCACAGTCACATTTGTTCTCTATATTTCACACATAAAAAAAATATTACTTAAATTTGCTAAATATCGATATTTGCAAAAGATTATTCGTTTTCTTGATTTTATCTTTCATTATAATTAAATTGATGATGATTTTTGAAAATTTTCTTTTCTTATCTGAAGTTCTGAGGAAGACTTAAAAAAATTTCTAAATATTGAGGGTTGCATATATCCCCTCCCCTGCCACCGATGCCCATGATTGTATTATTAATTTCTGTGTACTAGTGGTTATATATTTCCAGGGGTCTGTCCAGACATTTTGTGAAAGGTCCGTTTTTCGTGAAATTGTGAAAAAATTACTCACATTCTTTCAACCAGGGTCCGCTTTTATGAATTTGTGCAAATAGGGTCCGTTATTGCAAAAAAAAATTTTTTTTCAAGGAGTTCTTAAATTGTATAGACATACAAGATTATGCTCAACACTGTAAAATTGTAATTAAAAAAATTTAATTTTAAAAAATAAACAACAATCGCTCCTTCTGAATTAGAGATGCAGCATATAAATATTTGGTATTTAACCTATACTGCTGAACGCAGAATATTAATTTCGGACGAATAATGGAAGAATCATCTGCCGAAGACAAAACTTAATTCGTTTACATCCATCTTTCTTGTTTTCTGCCCTGGAAAGGGTTTATTCGATTTAAATAATAATGAAGATAAAAAAATTTGTGAAGGGTCCGATTAAAAGAAAAATCATTTTGTGAAGGGTCCGTTTTTAAGATAAAATATTTTGTGAAGGGTCCGTTTTTAAGTTAAAATATTTTGTGAAGGGTCCGTTTTCATGAAAAGATATTTTGTGAAGGGTCCGTTAACGGACTCAAATTTCTTCTAAACAGACCCCTGATTTCACAATAGTTATACATTAATGTTGTTAAATATATACCAAGTATAGTTTATATATTTAACAATATAAAATATATATTAACAATATACATTTAACAATATTAAATTCCATGTTTTTTCACATGAAAAATGTATATTATTTTTAATGAATCATTAAAGTAGAATATATACATTTTCTTGAAACATTATAATAATATCGATATATTTTTAAAAATTAAATTAATATATATTTATTTCATAAAACATTAGTGTAATATATATATATATATATATATTCATGATTCTTGTGGAATATGTGTACATTCCATGAAACATGTATTTTGTTTGGGAATTTTCTGGAAAATATATCAGCTTCATTAAAACATTTGTGATGCATTGTTCTTTCCCTTATGAATCATTAGGGTTACATATCTGTATATTTTCAGTCTCAAGTGGACGAGGTTCTGCTTATGGTGCATCATGTAACAATTCAGCTGCCTCTATGAATTTGCCTCCAAACGTTGATGTGGATCTAACAGTATGGGCTTCATTGACAAAAGCCGGCGGTAGAATTACATTGCCTGATACTGGTTAGTGCTGCCATCTATAAAATATTTCTTCAACCATGATTTCCATTTTATTTTAATGTTTCTTATCATTACTATAGAGTTTAATTATAACAATCCATGTTTACAGGAATATCATTAACGATACCGAGAGGTGCTGTGCGAAAAAGTGCAAGTGTTTATCTCGCTGTTTTACGAGATGATAAGGACAGGCCAAATCTCTCAGGTATGGAATTGTTATAGTAATGATGATATTCAATAAAAATTAATCGACTTGCTAAAAATTAATATTTAAAAAATTTAATTTTAAATTATTTGTTCTGAAATTGAACATTCATTATGCTATTGTAAATTTTTTGCTGTTCATTTTTTTGTAAATTCAACTATTTATTTTATATTTAAAAATGCTATATTTATCTGAATTATTTTATATGAATTAAAATAATAATAATTGTTGAAAGTAATTACTTTTTTAACAATTTTTTTCAATATTTAACTTAATGCTATATCAAATTGGCTCTGTTATTTTTATTTCTGTTATATTTCTCTTTAAGTGACAAAGTATTTTTACCCAAGAAGTTCTAACAAATACTAATTAAAATTTTGGTTAATAAATTGTGTCTTGTTTAAATACTATTAATTTAATAGATAAAAATTAGTAACGTATCTGTGATCACTAATTAAAACATTAATTTAATTTCTCAAGCTCGTAGAAAAATTTGCTTGTGATAAGACTCTTAAGTATTCTGCGTTAATTAGATAGTTAATTTATTTATTCATAATTTCACTTCATTATTTTATCAGTAAATAAATTGAAAATTTATTTAAGAATTTTCTCTAATACCTCTTATGTCTGTTTAAGAAAAAGTTTAAAATAAAAAGAATTCTTTTTATTTTTTATTTCTCTCAATTATAAGTTTAACTTGTTCTGAAAATTCTGACTAATGTTAGCTTCTTAATAATGCTAAAAACTATCCATGAATCTTCATCGAATTAAGAATTATATACAGTTCTATATATTTATATGAATACATAACATGGAACTCTCCATCTTAATTCCTATCTAGCATCCGAATTTCTTTAATTTTTATTGTTCTTGCAGTTAAAGTTTTTCTTAAAATGAACTTTGTTTGTAATTTTTTTTTCTTCCGCTTTTATGAAGCTTAATTTTCAAATGTACTTCTCTTTATTTAACTAATTTTCCTGTTTTTTTCCAGACAAAGAAACAATTCTAAGTCCTATAGTTCAATTCGGACCTCCCGATGTTCACTTTACAAAACCTGTAATCTTGAGTCTTCCTCATTGCGCCCATATAGAAACGCCAGATAAATGGTCCATTCATATTTATAACAGCGAAACTCCAACAGCCGAAGAAGAATCGCCTGCTTGGAAGGTAATTCAAAGTCCATAAATTCAAAGTCCAGCAATATAAAAGTTTAAAAATTTAAAACTTTTTTGAAAATTTGAATGTATAACAAAGCAATTAATGAATATATATATATATATATATATATATTCATTAATTGCTTTGTTATACATTCAAATTTTCAAAAAAGTTTTAAATTTTTAAACTTTTATATTGCTTTCACTTGTTTTAATTTACTAATAAATACAAGAACTAACATTGTGCTGAATAATATAGCAGTTCTTCTTAAATACTCAATTATTGAATAAAATTTCAAAAAAAATTTCCACTCAGTTGTGATTTTTCCGAGTTGTTAATTTTATAATAAATAAAGTGTTTCTTTTTATTTAAATAAACATTTTATTGCCCTGTGACTGACGAATCGTTCATTTTCAGAACCTGGTAACTGTTGGTCAGGAGACTATCAATACCCCACTTTTCTGCCAAGTGGATCCTCACCATATTCACCTGATGACAGAACAGTTAGGAAGGTTCAGTGTAGTGGGCGAGTCTTCATATGGGCAGAAAGCAGTCAAGTCTATTGCCCTTGCTGCTTTTGCACCGGCATTCCATTCTTCCACTGACTACACCATAAGGGTATATTGTATAGAAGACACCAAAGCAGCCATTCAGGTAACTATCGAATACTAGTAGAAGTACTCTTTTTTTATTATAAAAATTTCCCTATTATCATACTTTTATAGGTATCTAAACCTAAAATAAACTTAATTTTAAAACATAAACTAGTTCCTAAATTTTTTTGAACTCTCATACGTTATGCTTCATTGAGATAATGTTGACTCGTACTTTTTTGCTCTGAGTACGAAGCTTTTTTTAAGCAGAATTTTATGCTTAGTTGTATATTTCATCAAAAATTTACCTACAAAAATATTCCAATTCTATTTTAACTTCAACCGCAAATCACCTTTTTAGAACGAAAAACGCTTTCATTGCGTTTTAAACTGTAAGGTTATAAGAAAATCAAGAAACAATGAATAAAATACAATTTGAATTACATTAGTATTTCTCATAAGGATCTTCTTCCCTATATGTGTACTAAATTTGCGGTTACTCTTTCTTGTAGGGAATGATGCAAGTGGAAGAAAAATTGCGTGGATCTCTTCTAGATGCTCCGAAATCCATGTTGCTTCAAGATGGCGGTTCTAATTTGTGCCTTTGTCTGGAAGACATTTCTACTGGCTGGAAATGCAAACCATTAGCAAATTATCAGGTAAATATATTTCAAAATTTCAAGCATATTTCCAGATATTTATTTTACCAGTCGAAATCGTGTAAATTTCAATTCCTTGTATGCTCATATTTTTCGATTATATTACAGGAAATCCCTTTCCATCATTTGTGGAATGGACGACAAAATCACCTTCATTGTTCATTTAAATTAGAGAACGTTGATCGTTCTATACAGTCAGTGAGCTGTCACATATTGGTGTATCAACGTGGGGCTCAGTCGAATAGACAAGTTCTCAAAGTCAGCACAGACTATAAAGAAGTAAGTTGTGTATTAGGTTCAAATGTAAATTAATTGCATTTTTATTAGGTTTAAATAAAATTAATTGCGTTTTGCATGTCATTGAAGAAACGTCTCTTTCTCTCTCTTTCTAAACGCTTCTTTTGTACTTTCTGGAAGTGTAGTGTACCAAATAATGTTTAAAAAGGATTGTATGAAATATGAACATTTAGAAAGGATATAAGCCGCTAATTTAAACCATACTTTGGAGAAAATCTTATTCAAACTTAATTCACACTATCAAAATTTTTCTAGATCAATTCTTTCGATTTCTATTTTATTCCTTTGCGATTATAACCAATTATATTCTTTATATTGTGATGCAGATACTTTTAATATGTCTGCTTTTGATTTTTTTAATAAGCTTTAAAATTATTACAAAAAATGGTAAAAGTTAACTTTTGAAGCCTTAAAAAATCAAAATTAAAGATGTAAAATTTTTCTTTGTTACATTGTAAAGAATTTGATTATTCTTTTTTAAAAACTTAATTGATATTAAGTGAATAGATTCAAAAGCATCAATGAGAAAAGGCTGTAAAATAGTTATTTCTTGGAAATATGCATTGAAATTTTAAATTCATATGATGCAACTCTGTATTAATCACTCAATTTGTTTTACCAAGAGTTCGAATATGAACAAATTATTTTATCATATTATTTTACTCATTATAAGGTATAAAAAAATAACAGAAAGAAAGGAAGGAAAAACTTTTAAAATTGAAAGCTTATGACAATGATTTTCATTGACTGTAACTGTTATTGGTAAGCATTGGAATTATTCCCAACAAGAAATAAAACATATAAATTCTTTAGAAGGTAATTTATATTAACCAAAAAACAATTGTATTTGAGTAGTTTTATGGTAATTGCATTTAATCTTAAAAAAACAATTTAAAATTTGGAAAGATGTCTCCTATTCTACGTTCTTATGTTTTTTAAATTAAGTTATCTGTGCTGTATGATTTAAATACTGAAGGAGGGAAAATTCTCCACTACACAATATTTAAAGAAAACCCTTTTCTTAATTTTTTTAAACAAAATTGCAAAGATTTTAATTCTATCTGAGACTTGGAATAGTTAAATTAATAATAAAATAAAAAATTATTTGTTTATTTGCAGAAGTTGCCCACGCCACCCCAAAGTACGACGGTATCTTCTCTGTCTTCATCCATAATTACAGAAAGTAGTACCGGACCGCTTCTTGCTGTGGATCCAACAGAAAATGTATTTAGGTATGTCAGTGACTTTAATAAATAATCTTTAGTCAAGTAGTATATATTAGGTCACATAGTAGTTCTATAATTTTAAGAGTGCGAAGATGAACGGTGCATAAATATCTAGATTTTCGTGCATCGAAATATAGGATTTAATGAGGCTTTAATTATCGATCGTAATTCTTGGAACTGCTCATAAAATAACATTTAATTTTTCGCTACTCGTGTTGACAAAAAAATTAAATTTATCTCTTGTAATCTTGTAAACACACTTTTAATCTGTGTGATTTGGTACATTAGAAAGATCTGATAAATACTCTGCTCGCAAGTGATAGTTGTCACAGGGATACTTTTTAGTAGAGAGATTTGGCAATACCGCTTTGCTAGCCAGGCTCAGTTTTAAAGAATTTGGAACAAGTGTTAAATAAATAGACTGAAATGTGAAATATTTCTCTTTAATCAATACGGTTTGTACAGTGCCCTAAAGAAAAGGGAGAGGACTCCTCTGAATAATTATTGTTCTAATGATCGGATCATCACGTTCAATTTTAAAGGTTCGTAAGGGTGACCTCAAATATGCCAATTAATTAGCGTAGACGATATTTTAAGTTAAGAAATAAGACATAAAAAGGTACTATTTCTGAATAATCATACCTTTTCTTTAATAGATACGAAATTTTGATTCCCAAAATATAGGGGTAGCTGCAATTTGGGAAATATGGTTCTAATAGTTTGGCCGGTAGAGCGGTCCAAAATTTAGACCCCTCTACCTTAATGTTAATATTACTTTTTGAGTATTTCACCATATCTCGAGAGTTTCTTAAGCAAGTTGAAAATTTTGTGCACACAGTTATAAAAATCGTTCATCCAAAGGCTAAAAAGTAATTTTCTGAAATATTTGTTATTTTTCATTATTTTATTAATTAACAGTCAAAAAAGTTTTGAATTGTAAGGTGTGAAATTTTTTACATAATTTTAAAGGCAATTTTTGATATCAATTTTACATGGCAGAATACAAAATGTCAATCAGTCGAATAGTTTGGGAGTTTAAAATTTGATTTCTCAGGAATTCATTCGACCAATTTCGTTCAAATTTGTATTTTATTATGTATACTTACATTCCTTAAAATGACGTAAAAAGTTTCCACTGTACTATAAAAAAAATTTCCTCAGTTGTTAAATAAGATAATAGAAAGTAATAAATATTTATAAAATTTATTCTTTGCATGGAACGAATTTTCTAATTGTATGTAAAATATTTTCAATTCGCTCAAAAATTTCTCGAGATATAACGACATATACAAAAAATAAAATAACATTCAGAGGTCCAAATTTTGGACAGTTCTCCTGACCACACACTATTGATACTTATTTCGTAACTTGAAGTATTGTTTGCAGTAATTAAGTAGCATATTTGAGGTCAATTTTTTTAAGCCATTAAGATAAAGTCCTAGAACGTGAAGATCCGATCATTAGATCAAAAGTTATTTAGAGAGGTGCATTTTTTATGCTCACTGTACATAGTTTAATTAGTGACATAAATGAATCAAGCTATTATTATTATTATGCATTTAAAAAGTGCGTGTTCATAACAAAATTAAAATTACGCTTGATAACAATTTAACTAAAAATGATCTTCTTTTATCAGATAATTGCAATTTATTTTATTTATTTCATTGTATTTCACTTATTTATTTATTAAATTTTTATAACTTTTTTTCATATAATTTGATTTATATGAATTTTATTTTTCATATAGATTAACTCCAGATGTAAGAAAGCAACTCTGTATTTGCTTAGATCCCCCAAACAGTAGAGGGAACGACTGGAGGAGGTTAGCTCAAGAGTTAGGTGTAAATAGGTAATGATCTACTATTTTACTAATTAAATGACTTTCAGCGATAGGATAGCCTGATTGGCAGGACGTTGGGCTCGTGTTCGTGAGAACGTGAGTTTGAATCCCGTCGGTGACTGGTGTACGTTAAATCTGTCGGCGTCACAAAGTTCTCATAACAAATCAATACCGCTGGGGGTACTGATTGATCGTCCTCTGGTTAAGTTAAAATTACGATCTGTGGATGAATAAATGGAGTATGATTGGGTCCTCCCTGTAAAACGGGCTGTGATGTGTGTATGACTGAAGTCGTATTCTTCGTCATAAATGGCGCTACTGAAAATTAAAATGAAATTGAACTAATAAATTCGCCTGATTTCGAACAGGTTTGCCGGTATTGGCAAGTGGCATAAGTGACAACAACAACAAATGACTTTTAACTCAACATTTATATGATAAATTGAAGTAATTTGGTTTCTATTTCGAGTTTATTTAAAAGAACTTTAAAAAGAACTTTTCTTTCTTTTCAAAAACAGAAACTTTCTTGAAAATGTGATAAACTTTACATGAAGTTTGGATTTTTGATTCTGTGAAATTTCAGCTAGAGATCTTAGGCTGCTGCCGATGAAAATTACAATTGTTTTCTAAATTGCGCAAGTAAAATTTAGCATTATTTCATCCACCAATCGAAATTTTCACATTGACCATCAAACAGGCATAATTACTAAAAAAGAAAATGATAAAATTAAAACAATGAATAAAATGATGAAATTATTTTTTAAAATTTTGTTTTTCAAGTAAACTAAAATGATAAAAGAATTTTATAATTAGACTCAAACTGATAGACTTATTGCATAACTTTCGTAGTAATGTGCCCTTCTTATATTGAAACTTCTATTGAAAGTAATACACCCTACGTTTTTTGATTCATGCATAATTTTTTTTTAGATTGCTCTATGCTTAAGACTACTTTGAAAAACGAAGTTTCTAAATAGTCTGAAAATAGGGCAATCTAAAAAATGTTAGACTTCATTGACAAAAGTAGATTTTAAAGTAGTTTAAGCAAGCAGTAAAAGTACTAGACCTTGTAGAAGTCGAAAAATTTAATTCTGTTTAATTATTTGAATTTTTACAAAGGAAATTGTTTTTCTATACAATGAAAGATCAATTGAAAGTTGCTAAAATCGAGTATATCTTGCATACTGTATGCTTTTTAACATATTTTGCCTGCTTTTTTTTAAAGTTGTTTATTTTTTATTTATTTATTCCAGATACATAAATTATTTTGCCACTAAACGTAGCCCAACTGACCATATTCTGGATCTCTGGGAAGCAAGAGTGCAAGAAGTGAGCAGCCTGGGCAATCTCCTCAACATCCTGAGGGTGATGGGACGTTGCGATGCTGTCGAAGTTGTTGAGAAAGAAGTCGGCTCTTGGATTTGAGCATCATCCTAGCAACTATTAGACTCTTTTATATTAGGCACGAATATCATATGAAGAAAAAAATCATAACTCTCAGTAAATTATGATGTATAGACAAAAAATTTCTTACATAATTAGGATAGAAAAAGTATTGAAATGTTAAATACGTCTACACATGCGGGTCGTATGGGCTGATAATCAATAGAAATTGATGGTTGATAGCAGCCATATGACCGCCGTGAGAAAATTAATTTGATTTATTTGGATAATACAGTACCTTATTATATTTTGTTTCAATCATATTTTTTATTCTATTAATGATGCATGTAAAAACAATTAAATGAATATTTTTTTTAAAAAATTTATTTATACATTTCTGAAATATTCTTTGAAAATATTGAATTTATTATCAGTTATTACTGTGGGTTTACATTCGAATGTATTGAAACATTAAAATTGCTTTTTCATTACTTGAACACAATTACAGCAAAAATGTTCGCATATACTTTATTTTAAAATATAAATTAGCTTCTAAATATATATATTTTTAAATTTCTTGTAGGGAATATTTTTAATGCTTACCAATAACAGTTAAAGGGAATGAAAAAAGTTGTTATATACTTTTGAGTTACAAACATCAATTAAAGAAATTGAGGAAATTTAATTTGTTAAAGTTGAAAAACATTTATTTTTCTCAAACACTTTTTCTATCCCAATTTGCAGCAAAATGTATGCAATAGAGGCTTGCAAATCAGTGATTTAAACTTCTTTTTGCACAAGTCATAAATGTGCAATTATGTGATCTTCCAGTTGTGCCTGCTGTACATAGAATTCAACTGTATCATATGTACATAACATTAAAAAATCTGCATAAAACACTATTTATAACACTGTTGATCAAGTGAAAGTTTCATAATTATTGTGCTTCATAAGTACGATCTGATCCTTTGTTCACCAACATTGCATTTAAATTGTCTACATGTTTTTGTACAATTATGTGTAACATTGTATATGTGTTCTGTTGTGTCTCTATGTTTTAAAAGAAATATTAATACACTCTGTTGATGCATTTAAGTTAATGTGCACTGCAATTTTTTTTATGTAATACGCAATTTTCTCACTGATAAAACTCTTGCACTGATATGAATTACATGTTTAGTGTATGCAATTTTTTTTCTTCATATTGCTAAGAATTGAATTCACGTTGTTAGATTTTCTTACAATACAGTGCGCACGAATTAAAGCAATTGTTAATTTAACTCACCTTTTAACATGTTTATGAAGAAAATAAAGCTTGGCATTGACGTTATGAAAAATTAAATATAAAAATATATCTGGAGTTTTTGGGGGAAAAGGTTGTAAGTAAAATTAAATCAGAAAAGAAAATTATTGAAATTGCACTTGCATATGTAGTGAAATCAAATAAAACATAAGTGTATTGAAACTGAAATTAGAATATTAAACAATATGGATGATGGATGAAACAAAGTTATTTTTTATAAACTAAAATTTAGTATTATACTTTTTTCCAAAACATTCTCTAATTGTAACATACTGATTAGTTTAAACTATTAATTATAAAACAGGTTATATTTTGAAAGTTAAAATAGTTGAATATGATATTGCTAACATATTTTCACGAAATCTCTAAAAAATATCAGTATTTTAAATATAGTTGAAAAAATATTTACATTATAATGTTATCAATCTTAATAAATATTTGAAAATGTATTTGAAAAATAATAAATTTGTAACAGTAATTATTTAATATACTCTTAAACAGTTCTATAATAGGATTATTACCAGTGTTCAATTAAACATGTGTAGCCCAAATTTGTAAAAAATGATTTAAAGTTTTGTTACTATATTTTTAAAGTTACGCTTTTTTTGCAATATAAGGTGCAATGATCAATTAGAAATTTAACTCAAAGTATTTGCTGCAAAAATTTTAAAGTTATTTTCAAGTATTAAAATTTCAATATGAAATAAAAGAATATTTAAAGCTCTAAATATATATTCATTTTATTTTAAGAGCTTTATACAGTAAGCTAATTGTTTAATCCATAGTTTTTTTCTTATAAATTTATTTATATTTAGTTATTATTATTAAAAGGTATTTAATTTTCTTATTATACAAGTAGTGAAAGAATAAGAAAAGTATACTTTTGAGTATTTTTAAATTTTTTGATAATATTGCTGCAATTTTAATAACAAAAATCCTGTCAAAAGTTGATATTTATTACTTTATTTCAGAAGACTTATAAAATAATTAAATTTTGAACTGTTTTTTTAAAGTCACTATATTTACCTTTTGGTATTGAACGCATTTTTTTATCATACAAATAAGTAAAGAATAATAAAATAATTACGTTGTAAGATTTTTAGATTTAAGAAGAAAAAAAAGTATTGTTTTTATTCTGAAAATTTTCATAATTTTTTGCAATATTGCTGCAGTATTTATAAAATATTTCTACCAAAATTTGATCGAAATTGTTTTATTTAAGATCTAATATTAAGATTTTTTTATCTCTTTAAAATTCTCAATATTTGGATTTTGTATTAAAATACATTTATCATTTTTTATTAAGCAAATAGTCAAATCATGAAAAAAAAGTTATCTCTTTGTCATGCATAGTTTTTAGAGGTTTTAACTATACTGCTGCGACATTAGTAAAAAAAAAAATCCTTTTAAAAGTTGGTTTGCATATATAAAAGTTGCTTGCAGCATGCATTTAGTTGGACAATCAATTTAGTGTGTTGTAAATAGTTTAGAAATTTCTTAAGCCCACAGAAAGAGAAAGTATGTCTTCCAAATTTTGTTGCAGTATTCAAATTTGTTTTGTTTTAAAATTGAAGAAAAAAAATAAACGCAGATAATCATACTTTTAATCTTAAATCTTTCTATTACATAAAATTAAATGGGGAAAAGTAAATATTTATAATTTCAGTTATTCTAATGCTTTTTTGCTAAATTTTTGTATTATTCTGTCAAACATAACAGTATCCCCACCCAAAAGATTTCCCATTGTTTAAATTAAATTTAATTTATAAAATTAATTTCATTACAATAAAAAAAAATTTCTAAGAAGCAGTACACATTTTTTTTCCTGATTATTTATTTGTAAATCTTACAATCTTGATTCCATTTGATTCAAAAATTTTATTTTGTTTCATATTTTCTTATCCTATACGCTATTAAATTATTCGAAATTTTTTTTTATTAAAAATATATTTAATTTTTTTAAACAACAATTTTTATTCAGCAACATTTGAGAATTGTGGTTGCACTACAAAACATTATATTTGCAACGTTTCCTGAGTCCTTGCATTGAATTTATGTAAGTTTTATGCTTGTAACATTGTTGTAAAGAACAGTTAGTGAAGCATTGTTGCTGCACGTTTGTATGCATTTAAGATAATGTTAAATCCTGGTGATGTTGTTTTATATATAAATGTATTTATTTCCTCACTGCGTCTAGTGGTCGACTATTACTGTTTTCTACTGTATATAGAATAAATAAAATTATACATTGTTTAATAAAGAATCATATTTTGTCAATTCTTGTTGTGTTTTTTTTCATTATATTATTAGACATACATTAAAAATTATAAAATAGTTAAAATTACAAAAAATGATTAGAAATTTAAAATTAAATCTAGTTTAAGTTTATTTTACTTCTAAATTTAACATAATGTACCTTATTGGTCTAATTCATAATATTCTCTAATATACTACCTTATTCTCAAATTCAATGTTCTTCACTTAAGAGAGGCTCTTTCTTTATTCATAAAATAGCGGAAGACACTACTTTATAAGATTTGCTGTTGTTCTTTTTTTTAGAGAATGTTTAAGATTTTTAAATTTTTTATGCTGTTTATTTTTGGTAAACTTTTGCCAAACGAGACCCTCGCAAAAGTTTATGAAGAAATGATTAATAAGAAACAATCTGTATTAGTTGAATTAACTATAATAATATGTAACACTATTCACCATTATAACATACAAACTCCCCAAGGAAAAAATGTCAGTCTGCTGAATGCATATGGGTTTTTAGATGAAAGCTTAGTAAAGAGATATATCATGACCATATCTTTATATTCATCTTAATTCTTAGCATGATTATTTATTAAACAAATAAAGAATAAACAAATTCATTAACATCAGATATTTATTCAAACTAATATTCAGAAACTCTTTATATACAAGTGAAATGATTTAGTATTATTTACATCATTGTCTCACAGTTCATCTGCATAAAAATAATTTTAACATAATATTGAAAAAAGTTGGTCAGTTTCTCTCATTTTATATAATATTTTGGCACTAGATAAATTTTATGTGATTTTGTAGGCTGTTTTGTTTTATCGAATAAAACTTAAAGTAACCTATCAAAAACTGGTTTTTATAAATATTTCTATTCATTTTTAAATTTAGAAAGGCAAGTTTTATTTAAGAAAAAAAAATATGTGCAATTTACATGTACATTGCTAATATCGCCTTAGATGTACAAATTGTCTTCTTACAAATTCATAACATACTGACGAACGACTTGGTTAAGCGAAGCCTTACTGAACTGAACGAAAATGAGCCTCATCATGAGTCTCAACGTTCAGGCTTGGCTAAACAATAAAAATAATTGAATATTACAGAAAATTCTAGCCAGAGGAATGATTTAAATTACCAATGTTTTACTGATGTAATTAGAGTCAATTACCAAGAGCAGTGCAGATAAAATCTGATATACATTTATACTGAACTTGGAATTGGTCGATAATTAATATTCCAAGAGAGCAAACGCGTGCTTAAAAAATTTGCATAAGTTTTTGGTTTAGTCGTAAATATGGATGGATTCGTAAATACTTTTAACAACCATAAATTTCTTTTACATTTTCTTTAAAAAAAACTTGTTTAGTTACCCGACCACGAAATAAAAATGCAATCCTTTCTGCCATTTAATTAACTAAGCCAGTGAAACTGAAGGAGTAAATGAAGTTTTTTCTTTTTTAATATTTGAAAGGTCTGTTAATATGGTTATTATTCTATGAACTGTGAGTGAAGATAAATATTTTCTCAATTAAAGGGCTGGGGATTGATATGGTTATAAGACACGTTTTCTTTTTTCGAAAATTATCAACTATTCTGTAATATTTTTTCCAGACATTTTAATAGTTTCTAGAATTTTCGCTATAAAATAGCAAATTACTCAGAAACATCCTACAGTCTGCAAAGAAATTGCAATGTTTTTCATCAAAAACTCCCCCTAAACTATATGAAAATGTCGATTATCACTATATTTTCCCAAGCCCTTTTACTAAATATCATTTTTTATTCGCAGTACATTTTTTATCGCAGTTCTCCTTAAAATGTGTTTTGGGATGCTTTCTTTCGCTAATTTTCTAAGGATGATGATGCGTCACCTATAGCGATTCACGAAGCGGAGCAGGCCCCGAACGCAGAAACTACTCATAACTAACTATATTTACACTATATTTTTTTCAGAAAAATACCATGGACCTTGCGGATGATCGTCTTATCCACCTGCTTTTCAATCTGCCACTGAAAATGTCACGCAGATTTTCAAAAAAAGTTCTCACTGCAAAAATAAGGAACGTTTTCTGTAGAAACAATTTGAATGACAGCAAGAATAAGTTATGATGATGAATCAGAAGATGATGATAGTTCAATTCATTTTTTGATCGACGGGACTCATATTGTTGTCTTAATCAGAGCAAAGTATCATCAATGACATGATCATATGTAACAAAATGAGCCCTCGTTTGCTGGAAAATAAATCATTGTGAATCTATCACAAGCAAACAGTTAACTTTTTACCACCACTTATGATATAAGGAGCGACTTTGATAAGCATGCAACATATGGTTTAAGTTATGATGCATTGCTAATGGTGCTCGAGGAATAATTGGAATAGGTCCTTTTAATGGATTTGGTATGAGCTTATGAACAGGAACTGGGTAGTTAACTCTGGGAAATTGTTTGTGAACAGGAAGGGGATAACTAGCCTGGGATATAGCCTGGGTAAATGGTTTATGCACTGGAACTGGATAGTTTGGATGGGTTTCAATATCAATCACAGGTTGGCGGTACATTGCGTAATATTTTGGATGAAGTCGAATGTGGTGCTCGATGATGCGAGCATTTTTTGGAATAGTCAAGGGATCAGGATCTGGTTTCATTTTTTCATAAAGATGTTCTTTCTCTGGATCGTAAGGAATTTCTTCAACACCGCCAGAATAGCTGGTGGTGTGACTACCTGGAGGACTGTTGTGGATTTCGGCACTGTGATGATGATCATGAGGGTTGTTGGGTGAATCGTGGTAACCTTCTTGAGAATGAGAATCGACTGGAGGGTTATGACTAGAATATCGGTTGCTTTCAAAATTCGAGGGTCCAGGACTTTCATAATCAGAAGGGGAGTATGGTGCTTTACCTTCCGAGTCAGGTGAATAAGCACCGTCTTTATGTTCATGGCTATGAGGAGGATAGTTAGAATCATGATGAGAATGAACAGAAGGATATGAAGAGTGTGGACCTTTTGAACTACTGTAACTATCAATTACATGCTCATCCTTATGATCATTGTAATTATTTCCGTAACTTCCATAACCATCATTGTGGTGAGGATCTTTATCCACGGCATAAGTTACTTCGTTTGGATAGTGTTTTTTAGAATCATGGTATTCATCAGTAGAATAAGGTCCAATTCCATGTTTATACATTTCAGCACCAATATTGCCGTCCATATTAGGTCCTATTTCGCTACTGTGAGGCCGTTCACCATCTCTATATCTATGATACGTTTTTCTGCCGTAACTTTTATGAGGTCCCGTGTAATGATATCCTTTTTTAGGGGTTTCATTAGAAGCTTTTTCCCCGGACTCATAACTACTGATACTCGAATGACTGTTTCCGATTGTCCCTGAATTGTAACCATTAGCACTCGAGTAACTGTTTCCCAAGTCAGGTCCTATTGCACCTGAATCATAGTCACCAATACTTGAGTGGGTATTGCCTATATTGTGATTAAGAGGCCCAATTGATCCTGAGTTGTAACCATTAATACTTGAGTAGCTATCTCCAGCATTTTGATTAAGAGGCCCTATTGCAGTTTTTCCCAACATGTCTTTCAAATTGTCTAAGTTTATCTTTGGGTAAAGAGAGCCTGGGTTAACACTTGACATCATATTCCGTAGATTACCAAGGCCAGCCAGGAGGGTGGCGTAAGAATTCGTTTTAGGGGCGACTTCTATTTTTTTACCATCTGCACCATAGTGATGATGATGATTATGAAGATGGAAGTGGTTTCCATCTTCCTTGTGCATATGATTAAGTGTGTCATATTTTGGTATGCCATGAAGATGCTGACCGGAGATCCTTGTGGACACATGACCTAAAGGCACTTTGGCGATCTTCATTAAATCTTGGTAATACGGCGAAGGTAGAGGTGCTGGCATTCTACCTTGAGTATCATGATAATGCGAAGAGTATTCTAAACCATCCTTAGATCTGCTGTGTACGATAGTGGTATCAGAACTTTCAGGGTTAGTTTTGGAAATTTTGTTTTTGCTACGAGAACAGGGTTTTCGAACCCTTTTCCTAGGTTTTTTATATTCTTCAGTTTTGGGTGGTTCTCCATTAAAATGGAAAGACGATATTGTCTGAGGACTTTGGTCACTTGAATAATCATCGTGATAGGAGTCACTGTACTCTTCAGGATATGAAGAGCTTTGAGCTGTCAAGTCCTTGCCGTTAATCACCTTTTTCTTGCTCTCATCTTTAGGGACAGAGTACCACTTCAAAACCTTGTAATCCTCTTTACTCACGTTCTGAAGTTTGATCTCGTAACTAGGGGAGGGTGTTAGTTTTCTAAGACTACTGAACTTTAATATAGTCTTGCTTTCTGCTGGTTTTGAATCCCTAATCTTTGTGCCAGGTAGAGCGTAAACTTTCGATTCTGTTGACTCCAAGGATAACAAGTCATGAACTGCATCGGATAAAGTAAGAGCTGCTAAAGCTTCATCTGATATATCGTCTTTATAGGCGTTAGCAGACAGGGCAACCAGAAGTAAAAGAAGGAAACTTCCCTGCAAATTTAAAAAAAAAAGTGAATAACGAAACAAAAAAGGCTATATTTAAAAAACCACATTTCTAGAGACAACAATCAATTATTATAATTTTTTTTGTACAGTAATTCAATATAGTTTTGATGTTCAATAAATCTCACTGATGATATACAGTTGGACTTCTATTTAACGAACTGCCATTTTGGGAATTTCTCTATTTTGCGAATTTTTTCGTGGAACCAAGAACATTTTGGAAATTTCTTCGTAAAATAACGTCCAAATAGCGAAGTAAATTTTCTATTTAACGAACTTTTCTTTGAGATCCACTTACCCTACTTCCCAAAATATTTCACAACATTTTAGACTTTTTAGCGCATTTTATGGGGGAAATTATCTAGAATTGATTTTAGAAGCTACTTAACTTTTAGCGAAAGCAGTAAAATCCGTTTCCCTTTTTGTTTGCATTTCAAACTAAAAACTCAGACAAAATTAACAGATTTTATCAGTAGAAATTAAATTTAAGAACGCATTTGATAACGTATGCTTAAAATTACTTTTATAATAAATACATTTGTAATTTTATGCATAAATTTAGCTTTTATTTGTTGAAAATATATGTAGCATGATAGTATTACACTGGATAATGCTTTGCTCGATTCCTGCTTTTCATGCAGATCTCTTTTATGGTTAAGATTTATAAAATAAGTAGTAAATACTACTTTACAAGATAAAAGTGTATCGATTATGTCTAGTGTTTATGAATTTAAAGCCTGTTTTATGCTGTTTAAGCATTTCAAAAGGCGATTTTCTATTCTTTTCTACTTAACGAATTTTCCATATAACGAACTTATTTTCAGGATTTAGACACTTCGTTAAATAGAGGTCCGACTGTATACATATATCTGTATATATATATATATATATATATATAACACAAAATTTAATGTTAAATAACATATATGATCTGAAATAATTGAATTCTAAAATCTGTCATAACAATAATTTGTACTTTTATAAAGTTATTGATAAAGTTATTTATATGCCAAATAAACAGTTAATTTTTTGAAAATAAGTTAGTTTTTTTACTAAAAATTTATTTCCAGAGGATAATTTTACAAACGAATTTAAAAAAAATTATATTCTTATTTATTAATGTCTGGTTGAGTTAATAATTTACGCACCGTATTTGTAATATACACTGTGGGCCAGAAGGCCATGATCTTTGGCCAAAAGTCAAAAATTTAATTTCAATTAAAATATGTTTAGGTAGCTTTAATATCGCCCAAATTAAGTATTCATAATCATTACAAGCATTATAATTTACTTTTCGGACCGACAAGAGTACAATGTAGTGAAAAATATGTTAAAAAATTTTTTTTAAATGTAACTATTAAATTTATATTTCAGAAATATATGCAGGAGTTTCACCTTTCTGTTACATTTTTATCAGATTAATTAGTCTGAAATTATAGTACAATTTTTCAATTTGTTGGATAGGTTAATACTCTTGACAAACTTATAGTTTATATCTTATCATTTGACATTTTTCAATGTTTGAATCAGTTTCGAAACTTATCTCCAAAAAGTTCCACAATGTAATTAGCTAAACTTTTTTTTTTGTCTTCTTTGATGTTTCTTCTTTCGAAAAAACCTGCCCCATTTTGCCCATGTTGCAAAGGTGGACTAAATATATCGAAAAAAAAATTATGTTTTTTTTTTCTTCATGTTTTCGCTTTATTTTGTAATTAATTCGCGCTATTTTGTAATATTACTTCGGAAATATAATTTGCTTTTCATTTTTANTTACTACCTTTGGTGTGAACTTTATTTATTTATTTTTTTTTTTACTCGCTATATTTTAGCCGTCATCTTGTTTTTTTGTTGTTGGTATTTTTAGTGTACTTCAAAATTTCAACTATGAATTCAATTTACCTGCACATGAAAACCCTAAATAAAAACCCCCAAATTTTGAAACAAATTCCATCGAAATACACGAAGCCTTGGATGCTGGCCCACTGTGATATGCCATTCTCTTTCTTTTTAAGAAATCGCCGACTGTGAACGTTAACTTGATTTTAACGCGAAGTCAGGAATAAAGTTAGAAAAAACTTCGTCAAGTGTAGTTACAGATTCCGATATATTTCTCTTTCGTTACTACAATCAGAACAGTTTTGAAGCTGCGTGACGTAACTTGCAACTTTAGATACACGAAATCTACACAGCAAAAAAGGGTTTCTCAGAATTTAATAAAAATATATCAAAATAGCTTCAAAACAAATAATAGTGGAATTTGAAAACCCTATACATTCAAAATTGAAACAGTATATACACAAATTTTTTTTTGCAGAATGCTTAGTTTCAGAAGAAATGAGAGAGCGAAATTTTCTGAGACAATTGTTTGTTGGCTGCCGATAGGATTCGAACCAAGGACATTCAGGATCATAGTAGAATTCTCTAACAGCAATAGTTGTGTTATAGTTACTTGGTGCATATACTTTCAAAGACACGGATAACCTGTCTACTTTAAAACTCCTTCCGATCCCTTGTTCTCGGGCTACATTCCAACGAAAGAATTTTCCATAGTATTTGATAAGTGTTTTATAATATGATTGATTTGCAAGTTTGCAGCTCAAATGAATCAAAAATCAGTTTCATCCCGTTCTCATGAATTATTTATCAGGCTTCCTATATTAGGTTACCACTACTAAAATTAATGTTAATAATTTCGCTATGTATGGGAATGACGTCACCTAATTCGTATTTTTAAAAGTATGTGAAACCACGTGTTTCCCACATTTATGCTTACGCTTTTAAAGCGTTTTTCTTTTAAATTAATTATAGAAACTCAACAAGAGCTTATGAAATGAAAACAAAGCCTTGGAAAAATTATGGTAAATTCTGAATGTCACATTTTGAATGATACTTTATGTATAGTTAATCTTTCTTTTTGTGAGTGGAATTTGTAACTCAGATTACGGTAAATCTAAGAATACGAAGTCGCTTCGACAACAACAACAGCAAATAATAAAAAATAAATTTTCTATATTAGATGCCCTGACTGTGTAGGAGGGTTAAATTAGGGAATTTATCCATTTCATAGGGCTGTAAAACATTTACAGCCCTATGAAACGGTACCATAGTACCTGTATTATTAAACTATAGCACCTATATTATGCACCTTAGTATTACAGGTTCTCATTACAACATACCTGATAACGGCTATACCAGAAGTATATAATATCATATTTAATTAAATATTATTGGTATCAATAATACTTTGGTGATTTTTCATAATTTTAGAAATAAAGTTCCGATATTGGTTCAATGATTATTGAAATATTAGTGTTGTTGCTGAGTATTCTCGAGAATTACAATTACCTAATTATGGTAAGAGGCATTAGTGGAAATAATTTTTTTAAAATTAAAATACTAAATTAATGGAGAAAATGTACTTATTTGTGAATATAAACTGTAAAAAACTGATACGTTGTTACTGAAGCCAACAATACTTAATTATTTTTGTTAATGGGTACAAATTGAAATTTTTAAAAAAATGGTACTAAAAGGCTAAATTATTGGAGAAAAGGTTAGAAAAACCGTAAGAATCACCTTTAACGCGAATGATGTTTAGATAATTTTAATAGCGGGTACAACTGGTAATTTGTACTCTGTAATAAGTACTAAATATACTTACATTGGTACCAAGATTTCTCTGAGTAAATAGGTTTTACAAAGGAGAACAATGTTGACTAAGGTACTTTTTGACTCTCAGGGCAATTGAGCAATAGTATTAGACACTTAGAGCAATAGTATTATGCCAAATGATACTGAATATAATTATCTTTGTTTTGAAGGTATGAACTTTTAAAACCATGATTTGCTTAATTTGATAACAAAAATCCCCGGAAAGGGCGTAAGTAAGAGATATGTATGAAAAAGATATGTATATGAAAGAGATATGTATAGGTTGATTACAGTAATTTTCGACTATCAGGAGTTGCACTCAAGCAACAGTATTTTTCCAAATGATACTTAATATAATTAATCTCTATTTTGAAGGAATGGACTTCTAAAATATGTTTTTCTTAATCTAATAACGTAAAGCTACCGGAAAAGGTCAAAAATATTTTAAAAAATCGGAACTGTTTTAGCTAAATTATTTGTGTCGGTATATGTCTTTTTGCTTTGTGCATGACTCTGAACTGTCTGTTAAAACAGATTAATTTATGATTTGCTTTCTTTTCAACCCATACGTAGAATGAGCATTCAGCTGATAAAATATATATTAAAGGATTTTAAATAAGGAATTTGCACTAGACAACAATGCATCATATGAAAAATAATATCTTACGTCATACCTGAAAATCATAATGTTCTTCAACAAAAATATTCTTCTTGACAAAGGAATTTCAAAACTCTTCAAATAAAACGCTGTTATAACGACCATTATAAGTATGGATTTCTGGATTACAATTCAAAAATTTAACAAAATTGCGTTCTTCATATAGATGAACGAAACAATATACCGATAAAAATTCTACAAAAACTTAGTAATGCATCAAAATAAAATATTAAATATGCTACTAAAAATTAGTAACAAATGTGCAAAACTAAAATTAAAATGACACGAAAAAATATATATTTGAAATTAAAAGTACTTTATAAGACGCTGTAACACCATAGCATGATAGAATTTAAAAAATTAATAAAATAACATTACCTGGACAACAGAGGTAAATAACCGCATGGTAAACGGTATTCCTATATTCCCGAAGTGAAACTGAGGAAGAATCACAACTGAATGGATTAGAAAACTTGCAATAGTGAAAATAAATCGCTTCACTTGTTACCAGTCTCATTTATAGAGATTGGCCTCACTTTTTCCCTTTCAAACAAAAATAAGAAATCAGTAATGCACGTCCACGTTTTTCCGTGTAGACGCATAACGGTTCCTTTCATAGGCAGGGAGAGGAGTTTAATTATGTTTTGGAGGTGTCGTTTACTTTTTGGGGTCGATACGCTACGCTTTTGAAAAGAGAAATTTATATTTACCGGTCAGTTTGTTTTCTTATTTTACTTTCGTCCAATCTCCCTACAATCTCCGTTATCGGTGTAAAATGATGTAACACACAAGGTTATGAAAATAACAAACTTTCAAATATATGACACCAGATGGTAATCTGTGACAAATGTGGTAATTTTGTTCGTTAAATGATTTTGTCAAATGAAATTTAATTAAATGATTTAAGATGATTGGGTTTTTGTTGTTTAATGAGGTTTTGTCGAGTCTTAATTTTGGTATGGAATGGTTGCTTGAGAAATTGTTGAATTTTTTTAATCTCATTGGTCATTTCATGAATCTGATGATGTTTTTTGATGGCTATTAGAACTGTGTCATTTTTTTTACTAATCCAATGAATCAAAATTTTAAAATTGTTATATACTTAAGCTAACTATTTTAGATTAAAACTATCAAGAATAACTTAATAAATAATAATCTATACACACACACACACACACACACANATATGAATCAAAATTTTGAAATTATTATAAACCTTCGCTAATTATATTCCATATTAAAAATATCAAGAATAATTTAACACACAATAATCCCTTTTTTTGAAGATAAAAAAATTTAAATGATTAATTCTGAATTAATATTGAGGATTATTTTGTTAGATGCGACTTTTTTAGATTTAAATTTTGGTATTGAATAGTTGCTTGAGGAATAGGGATTGTTGGGAGTTTTTTAATCACATTGGTCATTTCATGAATCTGATGACATTTGCTGATGGTTATTACAACTATATCATGCATTTAATAATCATATGAATCAAAATTTTGAAATTATTATAAACCTTCGCTAATTATATTCCATATTAAAAATATCAAGAATAATTTAACACACAATAATCCCTTTTTTTGAAGATAAAAAAATTTAAATGATTAATTCTGAATTAATATTGAGGATTATTTTGTTAGATGCGACTTTTTTAGATTTAAATTTTGGTATTGAATAGTTGCTTGAGGAATAGGGATTGTTGGGAGTTTTTTAATCACATTGGTCATTTCATGAATCTGATGACATTTGCTGATGGTTATTACAACTATATCATGCATTTAATAATCATATGAATCAAAAGTTTGAAATTATTATAAACCTTCGCTAATTATATTCCATATTAAAAATATCAAGAATAATTTAACACACAATAATCCCTTTTTTTGAAGATAAAAAAATTTAAATGATTAATTCTGAATTAATATTGAGGATTATTTTGTTAGATGCGACTTTTTTAGATTTAAATTTTGGTATTGAATAGTTGCTTGAGGAATAGGGATTGTTGGGTGTTTTTTAATCACATTGGTCATTTCATGAATCTCATGGCATGTTTTGGTTGCTAGTAAAACTATGCCAGGTTTTTTTAATCACATGAATCAAAATTTTAAATTTGTTGCAAGCTTTCATTATTTTATCTCAAAAATATAAAGAATAAGTAGGCAACTAATAATTCATTTTTTTGTCTATTTGGAAGATAGATAGATGTAAATGTTTAAATCTAAATTGATGTTGAGGATTATTTTGCTAGATGTAACTTTTTCACATCTTAATTTTGGCATAGAATAATTGTTTAAGAAAGGGAAAGTTGGAATTTTTTAATCACATTGGTCATTTCATGAATCTGATGACATTTGCTGATGGCTATTTCAACTATGTCGTGTTTTTAATAATCATATGAATCAAAATTTTATAATTGTTATAAAACTACGTTAATTATATTCTATATTAAAAATACCAAAAACAAGTTGACAAATAATAATTTATTTTTTATATACCTGGAAGATAGATAGATGTAAATGCTTAAATCTAAATTGATATTGAGGATTATTTTGCAAACTGTGACTTTTTTTAGATCTTAATTTTGGTATGGAATGGTTGCTTGAGAAAGGGATAGTTGGAGTTTCTTTTAATCACATTGGTTATTTCATGAATCTGATGTTAATTTTTGACGACTATTATAACTATGTCATGTTTTTACTTATCACATGAATCAAAATTTTAAAATTATTTTATACTTATGTTATTTATTTTATATTAAAACTGTCAAGAATAAGTTGATAAATAATAATTTATTTTTTTATACGTCTGGAAGATAGAAAAATGTAAATATTTGAATCTTAATTGATATTGAGGATTATTTTGCTAAATGTGTATTTTTTTTAGGAGCCATGAATTTGTAGGATGGTGATATCCGTTTCATAAGGCTTTAAAAAACTTATTACCACAATACCTATATTATGCACCTTGGTATTACAGGTTCCCATTAAAACAGACAGTATTTATAACAGCGATATCAGAAGTATATAATATGAGACTAACTTGTTTTAATGAATGAAATGTATGGAAAATGTATGATTTTGGACCTCAAAAATATGATTGTGCTTATTTTTGATTATATAATTCCTTAGTTTTATATCTTGCACATTCATTGTTTTATATGAATTAGAAAAATGCATAGAAAAGTTATGAATAATTTGTATACATAATAAATTTTAAAAAAATGGCCTCGAAAGTGTCCAGATATCTATTAATTCCTTACAGTATTTTTATGCTATATTTTATTTTATTTATCATCTTTGCTATCAAGAATAGGGAAATTTTTGAAACAATACTTCGTGCTTTGCGCAATACCTTGACTGAATGATCTAGTGAAATTGTGAAGAAACAAAATTAAAATCTTGCATGAAATTAATTTTTGAGAGGAGTTGGAAAACATTTTAAGCATCATCTTGTCTTACGCTGCATTGAAGTTTCGTGGGATCTTTTGAATTCACGAGTAAGCTATTGTTGATGGGGCAAGAGCTATCAAAAAGGAAGAAAATTTCTATTAAGCACATTTTATTTTTTAAAAATGCACAAAAGGCAACTTTTTTGCAGTTTCATTTGCAGGAACGAAAATAAATATATCTAATAGTATATTGCATGGAGGAAAAAATTCTAGCAAAATTACCACGCATGGTAAAGACAGTTTTGCTTAGATAAAAAAAAATCATGAAGCTTCTTAGCAACTTTAAATTTTAAAAATTCAATCTTTGAAAAAACAAACAATTAACTATTAAAAACAAACAAACAATAAACAATCAACAAACAAACAATAAGCAATTAAAGAACAAATAAACAATAAGCAATCAAGGGGGTTATAAGCAAGCAGTAGGTGAATAATATCAAAATACAATCAGGAAACTGAAATATCTTCTAAAATAAAACATTACTTTCCGACTAAAATTCTCTATGATTGAAAACAGTTCTTTTTGAAGATAAATAAATATATTCAAAGAAATTATTCATAGACAACTGTTTTGGGTTTGTAATTTTTCCGAAAAAAATATTAAAAAACAAGCACGTGTAGTTAAAAAATAGATTAGAAAAACGCAAAAAATATCTTTAAAAAAATAAATCCCGGAAAAAGAAGAAAAAAAACTATTCATTTCGAAGTTTCTACCTCAATTTCAATGTTTTACCATCTTCATTATTAGCTTTCTGGTCTACTTGTTCCAGTCTTTATCTCTATTTTGCGCCAAAAAGGAATAAAATTTTACGCTTGATCTTCCATCATTTACTTTCATTCTAGAAAAGTTCTCTTTTTAGGTAGTAACAAATGAATTCAAATGAAACTGAAATTTGGCTTTCTTTTGGTCCTTTACGTTTCCGGTAAAATAAAATAAAAATATATTCTTTGTTTCAATTTATTATTTATAAACACGGAACAAAGTTCTTTTTTAATCGTAAACAGAAAAGTAACTTTTGGCAAATAAAAAAGCAACAACGTCACCGCCTCGCCTTTTCACTAGTTAAAAGTTTTTTTGTAAAGATTATTAATTTGTATGGTATTTTATTTAGTTCTATATCAGAATTAGTTTAGAAATAATGAATTTGTTTGTTGACTTATTTTTAAAACTTGATAAATATTTATATGGTGATTCAAATATTTTTAAATCTTGTTTTTTGAAATGAAACTGAAATTTGGCTTTTTTTTTGTCCCTTACGCTTCCGGTAAAATAAATAAAAGAAAAATATATTCTTTGTTTCAATTTATTATTTATAAACACGGAACAAAGTTCTTTTTTAATCTTAAACAAAATAGTAACTTTTGGCAAATAAAAAAACAGCAACGTCGCCGCCTAGCCTTTTCAATAGTTAAATGTTTTTTTTAAGGATTATTAATTTGTATGGTATTTTATTTAGTTGTATATCAGAATTAGTTTGGAAATAATGAATTTGCTTGATGACTTATTTTTAAAATTTGATAAATATTTATTTGGTGATTCAAATTTTTTGAAATATTCTTTTTTACCCCTTGTGATTAAATTTTATCTGAAAATTTTAATAAGCACCTATGTTCTATTTATTAACACATTCTAAAAACGTTTTAACAGAAATCAACCCCCACGTTTTAAAAAGTGCACCACGTTTTTAAAAGTTCACATATATGTGAATATACACATATATGTGAATATCCTCCAATATCCAACATATATGTGAATATCCGCCGTAAGCCATCCCAATATTGTAATTCTTTAATAAAAATAACTGCTCTTAGAATTAGAAAGAAATATTTTTCTGAGAGAATTGGATCAAAACCTTAAAAAGATTTTTGCTCATTAATTTATAATTAAAAATAACGGGAAAAAATGACGGATACTACAAAAAAATGAGCATTCTGATAATTGTTAGAAACTGTTCTAAGTTCAAAAGTAAATTATATATCCGACACTTTTTTTTTCGTGATCACATAATTTAAACTATATG